ATTGTAGAGTTACTGCAGATCATGATCATTGGACTACATGGTCCAAAAAAGGTGAAAGAAAGGACTTTTATGTTCCACCATAAAGAAATAATAAATGTTTGAGGAAATACTATGCTTACCCTGATTTGCATATTACATAGTGTATACATGTATAAAAGATCATAGTATCTCATAAAATATGCACAATTTTATATCAATTAAAGTTTTAAAAAGAAAAGTGAACCTCATATGAGTTACACCAAGCAGCATTAATATTTATTTGACTGTCTTTAAATGACAGAAATAAACCTATTACACGTCGATGCAAACACCATATATTGCTTGAAAAATAACTGTTTTCAGCACAGAATAGTGAAAGAGAAGGAATTGTTTGGCATTTCTAAAAATCTCTCTAGTGTCTGGCTTAATAAATGTAGTCTGGTTACACATTCTCTTCTGTCCAATCTGTAACAATATGTGGTTTTGGTTGAAGAACATGAAGAAAATCTGGCTGTACTCAAATATGTAATTGAAAGGAAGAAAAGTTTAACAGTCTTTTTGACTTTTTGGATTATCTTCTCTGTTAAGACACTTCACAGCAGTGAAGAATATAATTGACTCTCTGTACCATTTGGTATTATTGCTTCAATTTGTACTAAGGCACCAGCAATCTTAGCCACTATAAATCTTGTACCTTTAAGACAAATAACAGTGAAAAGAACAAATAATATATGATAAATAAACACTGAAGGAATTGTAGAATGTAAATGTCACCGTTTTCCAATCCCCAATAAATTCACAGACCCAGGCAATCACCATCACCTGCTCTAACATCACAAAAAGAGAACAAGTGGGCATAACGCATCTTCTGAGGAAGACCACACAGCTAGCCATAGACTTCCAAGCAGATCAGACCAAGGTCTGATCCAGCCTCTGTAACCAATGTTAATTTTAGAGAAGTGCAGAGGGCAAAGGGGCAGGTTAACCCGCAGCACATGTATGCAGCCACCACAATCCAGAGTGAGGGAAATACTTCAGGTCAAGTAGCTCAGGCAGCAGATTATTCTTAATGAGAAAAAAGGAATGGAGGGAGAACTTGTGAAGTCTAACAAGAGAAAACAGAAAACAAAGTACGGCATCGAGGAGTCACAGTTGGGTGAATTAGCTATAAGTAGCTACAAGAGAAAGGCTATAGTAAGCATAGCGTATGTTTACTCTTGATGGGAGCGGAGGACTTAATTAGCCTCAGACACAAGAGGATTTCTGAAGAGCTGGCAAAATTGTTTTATTTGATTTGAGTGGTGATTACAGGAGTTTTTCTCTAAATAGTCCATTAATCATACATTTTATGTGGTTGTCCGTATCTGCTTTATTTTATAATAAAAAGATTTTTAAGCAGTGAAAAGGAAAGCGATGTGTGGGCATTTGTCTTCTGAAGACTGTGGAGACTGCAGCCGGAAGAGAAAAGGGTTTAGGGATCATGACCCAGCGGGTTAGGTCCGGCTATAGAAAAGTAAACAGTTTGGAAGTGAAAGGAGTTAAGCGTTAGGGAAATTTCCGGACAGTGTGTTGGAAATGGCAACTCATGCAGTACACAGGTAGAGGAGGAAGGGCAGAAAGTGGGGAGGTGCATGACCTCACAGCACACACTGTAGGGTTAGTTCAGGACCCCACGTGTGATGGACCAGGCTCCGTCCCAGAACAATAAGCTCTTGAGTGTCCTTTACCTAACCCAGGGGCCAGGCCGCTGAGCACTACTTCAGGATCCAGGGAAGAGCTTCAAGGAGGACCTCAGTGTGCTTGTGTTGGGCAAACAGCTCCTGACACCTGCAGGAAGGCGACAAAGGCCTGGTAAGACAACCCCACCCTCCGATTCCAGCGCCCTAGGAGACAGTACCATCAGCTACACCTTCTTCCCCTCCTTGACCCCACAGCATCTCCTTCTGGCCAAAGAACTGGGAAAATGGTCTCCCATCCAAAGACACGGAAGAGGAGATGTAATTTACCTCATTGTCAGACCGAGTCTCCACAGATCCTGGAAAGAAAGAAAAACAATGGAATGCCCCAGTTAGGTCCGAGTGCTGAGGTTATCATGGCCTGCGTGTCTCCATCTCTGCTTCCTGTTGGAATATTTCTGGCTCCAGAAAAGACTAGCTAAGTGATCTCTGAGAAGAACTCTCAGCCTTGCCTGCCTCCAGTCTTGGAGGTGGGAGATGTGGGACGTGAAGGTTGCTGCAGGACGGGTAGCCCGCTTCTCTTCATTGGCTCCTTACCTTTCCAAGCCCGGAAGTGGATGAAAAATCCCAGCAGAAGGAAGATTAACCCAAGCAGGGAGGCTGCAACTCCACTTAGCATCTTCCCCCAACAATATTCGGACTGAGCTCCTGTGGAAAACAGGTCTCAAAGTTAGCAAAAAGCTCCCGACGTCTGTTGTGCCTTCTTGAAACCCCAAAGCTTACACTAGACAGCAAAGTCAATGCTATTTAGGGAAGTGTAGAAATAATTCTCTGAGGGAAAGCTTCACAGTCCTGAAGTTTCCTCCCATGTGTCACTGATTCTTCTATCTCATGAGAATGCCCCTGAAATACTAAGACCAAAGTCCTAACTAGAGGACACCAGCTCCAGGGTTAGGGGAGAGTAACGAAGTGATTAGACCCTGAAAGACAGGAGAATAGCTTCCCTGTTTTCTCCCACCCTAGCCCAAGAGCTCTGATTTCTGTGAAATCCGTGAATTTGTGTCATGACCTAGACTAATGTAGAGGGGACACAGGCCCAGGAAGCAGTCGGTATGATCCCAAGTCAGGCCCAGAGAGTACAAGAAACTAATGCTCACTCCACTCCACAGATAGGAGAATAGCTTCCCTGTTTTCTCCCACCCTAGCCCAAGAGCTCTGATTTCTGTGAAATCGTGAATTTGTGCCATGACCTAGACTAATGTAGAGGGGACACAGGCCCAGGAAGGAGTCGGTATGATCCCAAGTCAGGCCCAGAGAGTACAAGAAACTAATGCTCACTCCACTCCACAGCGACAGGGCTCAGCAGGCTGGAGTGCTCAACGCGGCAGCTGTAGACATCCCCGAGTTCAGGGGTCATCTCCAGCATCACCGCAGTCTGGAATGTCCAGTCTCCATTCCTGATAAGGCCACTGGACACAACCCCAGCTCTCTCCTCCTGTCCGTTTCGGAACCACTGGATCTTTATGTCCCCTGGATAGAAGCCTGTCACCGAGCAGAGCAGCAGGTTGTGCTGCTGTGGGAACGGGGTCCTCTCTGGGTACACTGTCACCAGTGGTTCCACTAAGAAGGGAGAGAAAAAATGAGACACTGGTGGAAAAGCAGCAAGCCAGGCAGGAGGTCTTTGGACTATGTCTTTCCCAGATGTCCCTCCCAGATCATCACCCAAGCGGAAGCCCAAACTGTAAGGCAATTTTAGCTCCCAAGACTTAAGAAATAGGTGCTCGCAATGCCCCCAGGAGGATCTGTACCTTACCACGTCTTCCCACGACCACCCCTTGTAGTCAAGAGTTTGCTAGTCCTCAGAGCCCCTCATGGCTGTATCATCTTTCCCCCAAAATGAGACCTAACTGGAAAATAAACCCTGGCACGACTGTGCAGGATGCTCATTAACAAAGCCCCACCCCAGATAAGAGTCGGTTAAGATCGTCAGCCAGGTGGACACGCTTAGGACATCTGCTAAAGCACAACACAGACATACTGAGTTTTAACCCAATATTAATATATAATTAAATATATCATTGATATTAATGCTTTTGATAAATGATAATATAAATTATAATTGAGTATTTGTAAATACCCAAGCGGGTACCTTAGAATGGGAGGCAAATGCCTACGCAAGCAGCTGAATTCAAGACTCGCTGCTGAATGACCAATCAGAGCACAGGCCCTACGCATGGATAATGCGCACACTTGACAGGGAACGGTCAGTGGCCACCATGAATCCTCACAGGTCAGTATGTCGTCTGTCGTCACAGACACACTTAATGCACTCGTGTGAAATAAACATCTTTTGAATTTTGGTGCCTGCAATTTTTTATCACTTTTATGGAGACGATGGTTCTTAACTACCACCATGTTTGTTTGTTTCTTTGTTGCCACTCCTGTAACCCCTGCTTTAATGGAAACTCTGTGAAGCCCAGCCTGCAAAAAGCGGTGACTTAGACGAAGAATTCACGGGATAAAATCACTGGCTCCCGTGTTGCCAGTGCCCTCCGAGCAAGCCGCACGGACAGGAAGCACTGATTTAAGGAGAGCTCTGCCTCTGGACATAGGAGATCCGGGCCAACGGAGTCACAGCAAGTTCAGGCCAGAATTCAGGCTGTGAAGAACTATGACGGTGTTCCCTGAGAAGACATGACTGTATTCGAGTAAGTGTAGGCTTTTGTACATTAATAAATGTAGCTTGTTATGCATGGAAAAATAAGACGTTCCTTGAAAATAAGCCCTATTGCATCTTTTGGAGCAAAATAAATACAAGACCCAGTCTGATACTGGGGGGAATATTTTAGGACCAAGGCCTGACCTGTGAGGATAACGAATGTGTCGTCGTTGGGGACAGAGCACAGCACGCCCTAATATAACAAGCTCATCCTGAAGAACAGCCACGGCGGACTCCTGAACCCCGCCGGCCCCTGCCTTTCACCTCACCTCTCCTCCCCAGGGTGAAGGGAGCTCCCAGCCTGTAGTTGCGTCTGCAGACCATGTCCACGGACGCCCTGCTCGTCTCCAGGATGTCGGGCCGATTGTTCCACTGCTCGGCGTCGGGCTTGCCCAGCTCCGTCAGGGCCACGAACACCCCCACGTCGCTGTCGAATCGTACGAACTCCTCCAGGTTGAAGATGAACCTGACCACGAACTGCACCTTTTCCGTCCCATTCGTGAAGTAACAGTCAGCCTTTGCCTGAATCACAAAATCTTCTGAAAAACCAAGAAGGACCATGAACCAGTCCCCAGCCCCAAGAAACCCAGTACCGAGGGAATCGCGTCAGGCCACACGGAGGCCTTTTCAGCTCCGCGGCTCAGAAGCATGGTGTTGGGAGAAAAGAAACAGAATGTGATTCAAAGCACAATAACACTTATAAAATGTTTAAATACATAGAGAATAACAATGTTACATGTTTTTGAAAGCCGCCTTCAAGCCTAAGACACACCAGGCAGGTGGAGAGTGTCTCTCTACGGAAAGGGTCAAGAGAAGAGAAAGGAGCATCCCTGCACTGATCGCAGTGCCCAGTGAGCCTGCTCAGTGAGATGAACTCAATTCTATGCGCTGAAGAATAATAACAATAACAGGAAATCCCACGGTAGGTCGGGACTGATCTTTCTGAAGAAATAGCACTTGAGACCAGAAGGCTATTAGCTACTGACCTTGAGGACTAATTTACTTTCATTTCTAAGTTCAGGGAGTCCTGGGCTGAACTATCAGGATGACCTTCCCTGGGCAGAGCATCTTGCATTCAACAGCGGGGTCCAGCAGAAGTTCCAACCTCCAATTCCTCCGTGCTTATACCCTGCTCTGTTTTCTCTTACAGTTGAAATGAGAAAAATGTCTGAAGTTTTATCATCTAAAATCTTTGCTGAGGGCCAGAGATGTAGCTCAGTGGTTCCACCACCTGCCTCGCAAGCAAAAAGTCCTGAGTTCAAATCCCAGTTCCAAACAATAGTAGAAAAGAAAATCTATGGTGAGTTTTTCAGTTATATGGTTTAAGGGTTATTATACACTCAGGATGGTTTCTATCCTCTAAGAACAGTGATGCTCCCCCGCCCCAGGCTTGTTCCTCTTTTCTTCTGAGTGAAACCGTGACATTAAAGGGCATTCTGTTCTTAGCACATTACATCCTGTTTTCTGTTCTTAAATATATGCCTTCATGCCTAGCATTTCTTCAGGTTTGCATAGCCTGTCTCCTCAGCTCGAAAAAATCAGCGATAAATTAACTTGTACCTAACCTGAGGACAAGGGTAAGTAATGTCTTCACCTTCTCATGCTTCTCAAAACTGCTCACTACAATTTTGACCGTATAATAGGAGTTTAATAAATGAACAATACATTTCCAATTGCATTTGTCACCATATATCCCCATTAGTTAAATACAGAAACAGTCATGATCGTCAGAATGAACTCTTGGCTTAAGGGTGGCAACTATTTTCAGACTGCATCCAACTTCAAGTTCTTGAGACTGATGTTGATATAATAAAGAACCTATCCTAAAAAAAATGCTTCCCTTCCTCCTAACACCCCACTCTTTGGGTCTATGCCTATGGTACCAGAAGTGCTTTTTCTAGAAAGTTCTTTGTGAATGGAAAAAAGAGAAAGAATACTTTTGGTCAACGAGAAGTAAACTGCTCTTTGAGACAAGAAGCCACTTCCACCCTTTCCATGGCCTGGACCTACTGGGAAAGCCCTCCTCATGCCACTTCTAGCTTCAACGCCCAGAAGAAAGTTGCCCTGTTCTTACCTGGAGATTCTCTGCCTTCTGTCGTGGAGGACTCCAGCCTGGTCAGACTCACTAGTGGAACCAGCACCCAGCCCACCCAACCAGAACCCATTCTGAAGGGGAAAGGATAACACAGTAAAATAAATCAGCTTCTTAGAGTGGAGCTTGTCTCTGCACAACTCAGCCCAAAAGCTACTTATTGTGAGTATAAATAACTCTTGGCCTCCTCGGATTGGAAACTTTCTCAGACTGCTAACCAATAAAAAAAAAAGAGCTTTTCATCATTAGGTGCTGGGCAGAATACATCATACAGTTGTGTTACATCACTTGAGGAGTGGTTAGTAGTTACCTGCGAACATCGCTAATAGTGAGAGACAGAACTTCTGTAAATATTCTGGAATCCGCAAAATGTTAAAGAAAATATAAAATAACCACTATCTTTTGCTTCTGTAATTTGCTTTGCTTTGCTTGTTTAACAAAATGCCTGAGGTTTCAACAGTGAAGCTTAGAGGCACGTAGCCCAGGTTTAAAATTAGCAAGTGCCAGAGGTGCTTAGCCACATCCCAGGATGAAACCAAATGTTCAAGCTCAGATAACAGTCCCTGAGCCATAAAACTCTGTAAATCATGACTATAAAGGTGATAAGATGAAAGGAATGTCACCAGTCCTTGCTTTCTTAACCCTGACTCCCACCTTGTGGGCTGGAATAGCTAAAGATAAACATCCTGAAAGAAATTGCTAGATTTGGGTTAGCATTGAACTGTCCTGTGACCATGTTTCGTGATGGGAACTGTGGGAACTAATCTGTCTTATCACCTAAAATGAGGTCATGATCACAAGACTCCTATAAAAGACAGATTGTCCCCCAGCCCAGGGTCTGTCATTTCGCACAGCTCTTGGTGCAGGCCGATCCTTTGCTAGTAAAGTAAATGCTTTTCTTTCGCCCACTTGTGCATCTCTGTGTGTCATTTTCCAGTTCCTTCTGCAACAACAGTAGTACAGGTATGTGAGAAATACGGGCTTCAGTGGTAACCCTTTTACAACTTTATCCATTTTTCTGTGAAAATAAAGCTTGATTTGATGTTATACTTTTTCTTTTTTGATACGTTATATTTTTCAAGGGAGTAACTCAAGTTGAGTTCAACATGTCACTCAAGTTTTCAGATTTATTTCCATAACATTGAACAAAAAGAATACATGATTTTCCCTTTGTTATTGCTTTAATTTTATCTTTGTCATTTATTTTCTTTACTTAAAACTTCTCAATATGTGTCTTTATTAGTTTAGCAAACTGGGATTTTTCTAAAGCTTCTGAATTTATTCATTCTACTTTTTCATTTTTCTAACTTATCAGTTTATGTTATCTACTGCTTTTATTTGATTGACTTCAGTGTCTCTACTTAATTCACTTGGTTTCCTTTTTCCATTTTTATATGAATAATTGAGGCTATAAAGTCTCCAAAAAGCACCACTTTAGCTATATCCCAAAATTTTTATGTGTAATTTCAATTATCATTTTTCAAGAAATTTTTGTTTATTTTTTTTCTATTTGGTAGATGAGCCAATATCTTTAAATAGTCACATGGAGAATGACATAATTCCTATGTCATTCCTACTTTTTCTAAACTGATTGAAATTTATGCCAAAATATTTAATTGATTTTCATGAATGCCTTGTTGAAAGTTGGATAGAGATGTGGTCTCTGTTTTCAGTGAAATAAGTCCAGTGTAGAGCCACTATATTTTGATTTTGTTTTGTTTTGTTTTTGGGGCAGGGTGGTGTCAAACCCAGGGCTTTGTGAGTGACAGGCACTTGCTCTCCACTGAGCCACACTCCAGACCTCTAATTTTTGGTTGTCAGTAATATCTTCTGTTTCACTTTCTTTTCCTTTTTTTTTGTCCACTTGGCCTGTCTAGTCCTGGAAAAGGGGATTCAAACTGCTTACTAGTAATATATATACATATATATATATATGAATATTTTCCTTGTATCTTACTTTCTCCTTTATGAGTCATTTGGTATTTAGAACCTAAATATATGTCTCTTCTATATCCCTATGAAATCTACATTTGTATTCTTTTTGTGTCATTCAACTTTTTCATCTATATTTAACCTTATCTAATAAAAAGATCGTGCCCTCTGCTACCTTTTGCTTTCCATTCTTTCATGTCTTTGCCCATCACTTTAGTTGTTGAACAAATCTTTCTGAGTTACTTCATTTTAGGCATATCTTATGTATTACACACAACAGAGTTTTACTTTTAATGTAAAATAAAAGTTCTATAATTGATTTAAACCCATTTACAACTGTTATTAGAGGAACTAGATTCAGTGTGGTTTGGAGATGTCATTGCTATATTTTGGATGTGCTTTGACTGTGTCTGCCAATGGTTCGTGCGCTTCAAGCTGAGCAGAGATGCTGAGAGGTAGTGGAACCTTTAAGAGGCAGACCTAGGGGAAGGTGATTCAGGTGACACTGCCTCAGAAGGGACTAATGCTGGCCTCCTAGAGTGAGCTACTTCTAAGAGAATAGGTTGTTATAAAGCAAAGTCAACCTGTGTGTTTGACTCCTTCTGCACATAGCCAGTTCCATTTCTACTCCTCCTTTCATGTTGTGACACAGCCATGGGGGGACCAGCTGGGATCCCAGAACCATGGATTTCCTGTAAGCTAAATAAGCCTCTTTTCTTTATATAATACCCAGACTTCAGCATCTTTTTATAACAACACAAAATGAACCAAAACATTATTATCTTCTACTATGTATACTGTTAATATGAGTATTTCTTTTTTTTAAGTCTTTCACTATGTTCTCTTTGTGATTGTTTAAATTTTATTTTTCAGATCTTTAGCAAGGTTTTATGGTTTCGATCGTGAATGTTCCCCAAAACTCTCATGCATGCAGAGGCAGACCTTGTAATACATGGCTGAATTGTGATAGTGCTATACTCATCAACTGATTCATTCATTAATGAGTTGAGCAGCTGAGTGTGCTGTAGGAGGTTGGTCCTGCTTAGAGAAGGGTCAGTGGGGGTGTGACCAGAAAGATATACCTTCCTCCATGGCTTCTCCTTTCTCTCTCCTCCCTGGTCACCATGAAGCAAGCAGCTTTCCTCCTCTCCTCCCTTATGCTGTGCCATTTCTTCCTTAGAGCCAGCCAGCTATGGACTGATACATTGAAAAACCTTGAGCCCGAATAAACCTCTGCTCATTTAAGTTGTGGATATCAGGGATTGTGTCTCAGCAAAAAACAAAGTGACTGGGATAGATTTTTGGTACCAAAGAACTAGGATTGTTGCTATAAATACACCCGGCCATTTGGTTGAGAAAAATTTGGAGCTGGTTTATGGGAGCAGTTTGAAAAGGGTTGGGGATGCCAGCTAGAGAACCCCTAGAATGCTGTGAGCAAAACCTGATGGGAGATTCTTCTGGTCAGAGATCAGAAGACCAGAATCCCAGTAGAAATGTGAATAGTAAAGGCTGGGCTCAGGAAGTTTCCATCAGCAACAAGGACGCCATTAGCAACTAGAGGCAAGGCCATGTGTGTTAGGCTCTGGCAGAAAATTTGTTTCTATTCTTGTCCTGAGACTTTGTGGGAGATCAAAAGTGAAGGAAATAATTAATCTGGGTGAGGAAGTCCCAAGGTAGGTGGCATGGGATTTTCTGACTGCACTGAACCATATCTATGGTGATATTAAGGACCAAAAAGCAGGAATGACTAATTTGAAATTTGAAGCACCTATAAAGTTTGGGCCTGTAAATTTGGGGTTGCTGAAAAGTTAAGCATTAAAAAGGAGTCAAGTACTTTGATCAGGACAACAGAAAATATGCTTTGAGGGCATCTCAGGAATCAGCAAGACTCCAGCCTTCCCTGGCTTAAAAGTGCACAAGTGAAAAGCTTTGTATGAGAAAGAATTTCCAGGGAGCCCACCCAATTCATTGAGGGCCAAATCAAACTTCAGCTTTCCTGGAACCCAAGTATCCAGGCGTTCATGGGCTGTTATAGCTATGATCCAAGAGATCCTGGCTACCAGACCTAGGGGCAGATGACGGTGCCATCTGTGTGGTTTGTCCCAGTTTAGCAGAAAGGCAGAATGCAAGAGTTGTGGAGTCAAAGAGTCTTCTGCCCACACTTCAGAAGAAGTCTAAGACGATTAGGCAGTGTGTCCTTGGGAGGGCAGTGTATGCAGCTGTGAGAGTGAAGCTCAAAGTGCAGTGGAGAGCCCAGGAAGTTTGAGATAACAGAAACATGCAACATCTGCTAAGGAAAACCAAACTCTGAGTCGGGTCACTCAGAGAGAGACCGTGAGTCTTGCTACAATCAATGCCACAGGGGCAAGGACTGCCAAGCCTTTGGAGCTCACATGTCACCACAGCTTACCCAGGGCACTGGCCAGAGCTAAGGGATTTAATGTTTGCCCTGGTGGGCTCTTGTCTTCCTTTGGTCCCGTTTCTGTATATTCCCTTATTTCTCCCTTTTGTAACGGAAACACCTTAGAACTGCGTTCTGACATTCTTTTTTATTGTAACAGGGTCCCACAGCTGAAAGTTTTCCTTGAGTCGCAGAGGAGGCTATGGGCTTGTACTTTCCAGTACTGTTGGTACTGTTAAAAGGTTGGCGGACTAAATGCATGCATTAAGAGATACCTAGGGTCCGGGGGCAGAAGGTTACCATTTAGATCTAGAATGTCCCCAAACCCTCATACATGCAGAGCAAGCCTTGTGGAAAGTGACCAGACCATGAAGGTGCTATACTCACTGCGGGTTTATCCACTAGAGTTGAACCGTTGAGTGTGCTGTCAGGAGGGGCACCTGGTTAGAAGAAGGTCTCCAGAGCATGACTAGAAAGGTTATCTCCCTCCCCAGATCCACTCCTCTCTCTGCTCCCTGGCCATCATGACCTCTTTAAACAAATAATGTCTTTAAGAAGAAAGCTGCAGAACAGGAAGATGTGGAGAATATAAGCAACTTTTTTCTTTCAGAGTTGTTCCTACCCGTGTAACCCATTCTAAAACTCCATTTTCTCATTCCTAGAATTGGGATAGTATTCTCTGCTTCGTAGGATTATCTTGATGATAGAGAAAGGAGATACACATCGGGGTATTAATCCGCACAGCCATAGCACACAATAAGCACCCAGTGAGTAATGATTACTATTAGAATTATACTTTACAAGATTCCATAGAACTCAATTCAAAAACCCAAGGTTTCCTAGGACCACTAGATGGCACCAGTCTCAAGTGGGTGATACGGTGGATCGCTCAGCACCAAACCGCAAGGAAGATCTTTCCCCTTATTCCCTAGTCCTTTCTCCACAAAACTCTGACAACTCTAAGACCTACGCGTGTCCCACCTGTGTCCTCCCCACTGGGTGGGGGCTTCGGGACTTGAAGCTCAAGGCTGCTTCCACGCAGGGCAGGGCAGACAGGGTAGGGAGTTGTTTGGAGGTCCAAAGAAATCGACTGTTTTCCTAAGGTTTCCCCTCCGCACTCATATTCTCCTTTGAAAGAGGGAACCCAGCTGGGTGGGAGAGATACTGAAAGTAAATGACCGGAAGGAGAAACTCTGGGGAAAGGAAATGGCGTGGCGGATGGGTGGGAGGAGTGAATGAAGACCTTAGGATCTTTAAGGCTACTGCGTCCTCCTGCACTGCCTGTCCCATAAGTTTTCCTCCCAGCCCTCCAGTTTCCCTATCGCTATAAGACGAAGCTGTTATGTTTTTAGGATGCCTTCCAGGTGTAAGGAGTTATGGTCTGTGGGGTTACTGAGAAATCAAAGACTTTACAAGATCGTCTACATCTGTGAGGGCCGCAGCTCCCATAAACTCGGGAGGTGCAGTAACAACCACCCCACCCCACCCCGACAGAGAAAAGACACTGCCTGGTGAAGGAAAGGAATCGGGCCAGCTTTCTCTCTCCCCGAGTGCCTTTCACGTTTGCTGGAATCTGGGAGGCAGGTGGCTGTGAGCTGCCAGACCGAAGCAGAGGAGGCAGAGGCCGATCCGCATACAAAGCTTCCCACTCTCGCCCGCCTACTGCCGACAGTTGCCAGGCAGGAGCGGTTCCAAAGCAGCAGCTCCAGCACGTTCACAGCTAGCACTGGAAAGCATCTGCTGTTTCCGGGAATACGAAAGTTTCTCTTTCCTAGAACAGGAGCCTTCCGAGGCAAGTCCCTTCCAGCAGCCAGTCACGTGTAGTGCTGGATTCTCAGTGGGCAGGGTACACAGGGAGGACTGAGATTCATTCGTGCCCAGCCGACACCCAGCACTGTCTACTGTGGCTCAGGCGTGTGCCAGGATGCAGACAGAGAACATAAGCTAAACGGCCTTCCCAGCAGGAGTTGGGGTCTAGAGGACAAAGGGTTTTGGGTAGAGTTTAACAACGGCTGTGAAAAAGGTTAAGCCCCAGGCACAGAAGCTCACCAAAAGGGCTTTCTCTAGACTGACGAATTAAGGAAGGTTTCCTAGAAGCCCTGGAGCCTGCTGAAGTCCCACCGAGGCTGTGGGAAAGTACTGGAGGGTGATGCAAAGAATGGGTAAGAAACCAGGGAGGGCAGCAAATTCACAGGGGCTACAGAGGAAAGGAGGCGGGAGGCTGGGGAACCCTGTGTGCTCTGCGAAGATCTGAGCAGTAGAAATGAGGGCACAGGAAGCAGCTTCTAGAAGTGACATCTTCCCATCTGTGCAGCTTCCAGAAAGAAAAGAGCTTGTGGAAGAACGGCTGGGAGAGGGGAACCACGGGGAGCAACCTCTGGAGACAGGATGACCTGAGACTGACGAACGTAACTGTACCGCATCCCTAAAATGTACCGATAAACTTAATAATAAACAAATAAACAAGACAATGGATTCAGAGCCAGGTGGAGCAAGAAGAAACCCAGCTCTGCCTGATCTGACTGTGGAGCAGAGACGAGATGGACACAAGGTGCGACAGACAGTAATTTATTCAGTGTGGGCTCAGAGTTGAGTCTAGATCCAAACACCGCGTCTGCCTCTGTGGAACCCTGGGACGCTCACATAATTTTGATTCTTTGATTCCTCATCTGTAAATTGGGAGCAATGAATAACCAACTTCACAGGATAGAGTATCAGTATTAAAAATGATTACGTACAAAAAACACTTAGCATAGTTCCCATTCGAATTTAAACTCCGTAAATGGCAGATATGCTACCATTAACCCTGTTAACTAGGGAACTGTGTGCTGTCCAGCCATACCCTAGCTTCCCCCAAAATACTAGGCAGCGGTGGGAAGGGAGGACACAGAAAGGCAATGTTATTTATGTCATGTTGGTTAACAATATCTCAAAGACAGCCAGCAAAACAGTAAAACTGGTTACCTCTGGGAAGTGCAACAGTGGGTAGTTTTCATCTTTGAGCTTTTCTGCATTTCCCAAACACATATACGGATACGCACATATACAATAAAGTAAAGCCTTCTGCATGGATTTACTATACCACAGCACTACTCAGTACCAGACAGAGCTCTTCCCCACCGAAGAGATGCGATTCATACGCTCAGATGGCCCTCAACCCACCCAAAGGCTCTGCCCCTCCCCTCATTCCTACACAGCTCAGCACATCAAAAGCAACCGTGGTCCAAATCCCCACCACACCTCCAGCTCGTGGAAAAACCACCCAGGGGCACAGGCGTGGAAAAACTCAGAGCATGAGGCACTCGGGTCGGCATTCTGGAGACAGCACTGAGCAGCCCACTGTGCGGAGGTCGCCGCGTCGTCGCACCGGGTAAGCACTGAAGTCCTAGCCCTCCCTGAGCTGGACGCGGTTCACAAGCTCCCCGTTCCTGAGCTCCAGTTTCCAGTTCACGTTCTGAACCGCGCCGTCCCTGTGTGCGATCACCAGCACCGTCCGGTCCCCGCGGGATTTCCAGGCCTGCAGCTGAAGGGGCAGGATCACAGGGCTCAGCTTGGTAAGAGAGGGGTGGACGCCACACCCCGGCTGGCACCACCTCTTCAGAGTCAGGTAAAGGCGCGACGCTGGGAAGGGCAGCAGTAACAGTCTGCCCCGCTGCTCCCTCCCGGGCTGGAGCACCGTGATGCCTCCCCGCACCGTGTTCCCCATTCCGTTCCCAGCCGGACAGAGGCAGCCGCTCTCTCCTCTAACGGCCATTCGCACCCCCTCCCACTTCCGCGCAAGTCCACCCTGCAAATCTGATCTCTCAGACCGCACTGTGCCCCGTCCCTTCCTCCCTGCTACTCACAGCCTGCTCGCAGTGGACGTCCAGGGCACTGGTGGCCTCATCCAGGATGAGGATGCGTGGGTCCCGCACGAGGGCCCGGGCGATGGCCAGACGCTGTTTCTGTCCCACGGCCAGCTGGCTCCCTCTCTCACCCACATCTGAGGAAATCGGAGAAATGGCCCCTCAGACACACGCTACCAGGACGGCACCCTCCTCGCGAAAAGGAACAACTGCGTGATCGCTGGTTCCTGTGTGGTCAGGGGGTAGGAGGGCCACGGGCGGGGGCCCCGGAGCGCCTCGGAGGAGGAAGCTCTACTTCCGGGTTACCCTGGGGGGGGACACAGACCCAGCAAGCTGGAGGCCGAGGAATGCTTGGGGTGGGGGGACGGGGAGTGGGAGCGCAGGGAGAGAGGGGGAAGGGGCCAGCGCCGACGACAGGGACACAGCCCTCGTCCTGAGCCCCATGTTCTCGGCGGGTTCCTGATCCAGCAGATACCCGTGTGTATCCCGTCCGGCAGCTCCTCTATGAAGCCATACGCTAGGGCCTCCTGGGCAGCAGCCACCACCTCCGCGTCCTCACAGCTCTGCAACCCGTAGGTGATGTTGTCTCTCACAGAGCCCGAGAACAGCACGGGCTCCTGACCGACCACAGACACCTGCGAAGGGGGGGGGAGCAGAGAAGAGGGCGGAGCGTAACTGCGGGGCGGGGCGGGGCCCTCCATCCCTCCTCCCTGCCTCCCCCGACTGCACCCGGGGATCCCACACCCTCGGTCTCTGCACGCCTTCTCCCCTGCCCACCTGTCTGTGCAGGTAGCGATGCTCGTATTCTGAGACAGGCCTTCCATCCAGCAGCACCTGGCCCTCCGTGGGCTGGTACAGATTCTGCAGCAGGGCAGCCACGGTGCTCTTCCCAGAGCCATTGGGTCCCACCAGGGCCGTCACCTCCCCAGGATTCAGAGTAAATGTCAGGCCCTGGAGAAACAGGAAAGCATTAAGGCCAAGCCACTTTTCTACAGGACCCTCCCTTCTCTTCCTAGCAGAAGACCCCTTCTCAAAGGCAGATGATCTAGGAGGCGCAGCACCTGATCGCCCATCGGCAGCAGAGAACAAAGTATCCCCCCGCCCCCGTTCCCTCCCTGTGGCCTCTCAGGCACCTGCAGCACCGGCTGGTCAGGGCGATTGGGATATGCAAAGGAGACGTCTCGGAATTCCACAAGCCCGTGCACGGAGGCAGGGGCCAGGGTCCCAGGCTGGGGCAGGCGGGGCTCTCTGTCCAGGTAGGAGAACACCTTCTCAGCAGCTCCCACGTTGCTCAGCATGTCCCCGTACATGTACACCAAGGCCTGGCAGACAGGCACGGACAGGTCAGAGCCAAGGGCGCAGCTCCTCACGCGCCCCCCGCCACTCTGGCGCGCGGAAGGAGTGCCCTCCGCCTTCCGGTGCTCCGGTTCACAGCGGGAAGGGAGCCAAGCCCCAGCTCTGACCACGCGGCACCGCTTCTACCCCCAGACCTTTGCAGCTCTCCTGCGTTCCTCCTGCACGGCGCCGTCTCGCGGGGCTGGGCACGCAATGCCTTAAAGGCTGGCACCGTGCATGACTCGCTTTTATAGGCACCAGTGCCCAGCTGAGTTCTTCACACATGAAAGATGGCTAATCGGTGTCTTGGAAAGAACTTTTGTAAAGCCCAAGATGAAATGACTATTTCTGAAAACTGGCAAATATAGGGAAAGAAACAAATGCTCCTTTTGCCTTTCCCCATCCATCACCTAGGGAGTACACTTGTAAAAAAAAAAGAGAGAGAAAACTGGAACCTCACATCCAAAAGAAGTGAAAGAATCATATCACAGTGATATATGTGCACCCATGTTTATAGCGGCACAGTTTGTAATAGCTAAAACTTGGAAACAGCCCATCTGCCCATCAATTGGAAACTGGATAAAGAAGATGTGGTTTTTCTACAAAATGGAATACTACTCAGCCATAAAGAATGATAAATTAGAGTCATTCATAGGAAAATGGATACATATTGAAGATATACTCCTAAGTGAAATAAATAAGTCCCACATGTGTAAATACCGAATAGTTTCCCTGGTGTGAATA